GGAAGAAACCTCCAGCAGAACCAGACTCAGGACAGACGGCCATCTGCCTCAACCGCCTGGTTGAGGGACAGGAAAGAGACACAGAAGAACTGGTTTAACTGATCCCAGATCTTTTTTTTTTTTTTACCCCCAAAGGAGGCCAGGCCTGGAGGCAGCCTATTGTACATGTATTTTGTGGGGTGGGGTAAACCGGAGTACCCAGACAAAATCCAAAGATGCATGAGGAGAACGTGTAAACTCCGAAGCAGGAAAAGAACCCAGGACCTTCTTGCTGTGAGGTGTTGGTGCGAACCACTGAGCCACCCTGCTGCCAGTAGCTTCTAATTTTCCCAGTAGCTGATAAAATTAAGCCAGAATGAATTTGATCCTTTCATATTGTGTCCTAAAAGATTGTTTATTTTTTTAATTTTGGGGGGTTCATGGTAATAAACTAAAATAGAAAAGAGTACTAGTGATTACTAGTAAGTAAATGGTAAATGGACTGTACTTATATAGCACTTTTCTATCCATCCAGGACACTAAAAGCACTTCACACTACAATCTGCCCTCATTTACCCATTCACACAGCACTCTATTATGTCTCTACAAAGCTAACATGTACAATCAACTATGGAGACTAATCAGTGCCAATGACATTCATACACTGATGGGACACACATTAGAAGTGAGGTGTCTTGCCCAAGGAAACAACAACTGAAGTAGCTGGACGGGGGATCAAACCGGTGACATTCCGGTTCCAGGACGACTCACCTAACCACTCTGCCAAGAGTGACCRGATGTCTTTTAAAACAGGATGTGATGAACATAGAAAATTCAGGCAAAAAACTTTGAGTCTTCTGAAAGGTTTCTTGTGTTTTAACTCTTTCTCAGGTGGTTCCACAGTGGGACAAGGATGTCAGGCGGGTGGGCAGGCGATGACAGCAAGACCTGGGCAGGCAGGCAGGCAATGACAGCGAGACCCAGGCAGGCAGGCAGGCAGGCAATGACAGCGAGATCCTGCCAGGCAGGCTGGCAATGACAGTAAGACCCGGGCAGGCAGGCAATGACAGCGAGATCCTGCCAGGCAGGCAGGCAATGACAGTAAGACCCAGGCAGGCAGGCAATGACAGTAAGACCCAGGCAGGCAGGCAAGAAGGCAGGCAGGCAATGACAGCGAGATTCGGGCAGGAAGGCAGGCAATGACAGCGAGACCCAGGCAGGCAGGCAATGACAGCGAGACCCGGGCTGGCAGGCAGGCAGGCAATGACAGCGAGACCCAGGCAGGCAGGCAATGACAGCGAGACCCAGGCAGGCAGGCAATGACAGCGAGACCCGGGCTGGCAGGCAGGCAGGCAATGACAGTGAGACCCAGGCAGGCAGGCAATGACAGCAAGACCCAGGCAGGCAGGCAGGAAGGCAGGCAGGCAATGACAGCGAGACCCAGGCAGGCAGGCAGGAAGGCAGGCAGGCAATGACAGCGAGACCCAGGCAGGCAGGCAGGAAGGCAGGCAGGCAATGACAGCAAGACCCGGGCAGGCAGGCAGGAAGGCAGGCAGGCAATGACAGCGAGACCT